AAGAAAAGGAACTTGGAAACTGCTCTGCTGAGTTATACCCAAAGCTGAGCATCCCATCTCCAGTAGGAAGGGCTGGGGAAAAGCTGTGAACCAGGCTGGTTTAACAAATAAATATTTATTCTTTAGCTTCCTTTGAGTCAGAGGCTTCCTCATCCACCGTTTCATTCCAATTTATTATTTTGTTTTCCACAAGAGCTCATAGCAGTGAGCTTCATAATTAAATATGTAACATTTGACACTTCAAATCTCCTCTAAATCTAAGTGTTGCTGAGAGTGGCAGTGCTAGGAATCAAAAAACTTCAGGTTCAAACTTCAATTTTGAGATAGTTTTGAGGTGAATTTTCTGAGATATTTCTGCTTTGCTGGTCAGATCTATAGATACCTCTAGATTTATACTGCAAAAACCCAACTCAATAAAATATTAACAAATAAACATTTATGCACAACACTGAAACTTCTGTGACAAAAAGACTCAAGTGTCACCCTAAGACCGGTGCAGACAGAATGAGAAGACTGAAAACTCCAGATTCTACTTTTACGTAAATAAAAAATATTATGTCATTTACTATCCTTTTCTAATGGCTCTTTGTGAGTTAAAAAAAAAATTAATCTTTCAGCAAAAAGATAACTTGTAAAACACCCTTTGGTTTCCCTCTGTCCCCTGGGATTTATAGGTCAAAAGAAAGAAGAAGACTTTGACATTTCACACAATTCAATGAAATTTGATTAAATTTGGCAACCTTCTTCTGCCACAAGCCAGCAAAGATTGCAGGGCACAAATAAAGAGAGTCTGGAAAACAGCACCAGAATATTTGAAATGTATCAAAGCTGGCAACAGGTGTGTAAAAGTCAATGATGCCAAATTTATATTTGCAACTTTGCTAAGCCAGCTGGGCTTTTGTTTCTCTTTCATGGACTCTTTTGACTCCATCTATCATATACAATCCCATTTGTATTAATCTGTGTATTAAACTTAGGGTAAGTATTAAAAAAACCAAAAACAACAGCCAATCAATGAACCTGGCAGGTTATTCTAAATAAAAAGGTACCATTTCAGCACCAGTTTTCATTTACCTGAACCACTGCACTATTTTCCAGAGTGAAATGATATTCAGCCCCTTCCTTTTTCCAGCTCCACAAATTACTGTTTTATGATACTGCAGAACCCTCTAGGCTATTCTTCTTAATTCCTTCTGTTTCCTCTCTAAATGTCTCCAAGTGTCCCTTTATTTCCAGCAATTATTTATAGACATCTGTCAGTCCAGGCTCCTTGGCTGGGATGCAATGGATCCAGGCTATTTTGCAGCACAGAAAACAAGTTACTTTCTTTAAATGCAATTCTCAAGCAATTTTGCTAAACCACTGCAGTTAAGATTTTACCCCACTGGGTTTGCAGCATATTGTTGTAAGTCACATCATGTCAGATGTGTTTAAAATAATTTCTGTCAAGTGCCTGCAGCAAGAGAAATGAGGTGGATGCCAGGTTCATTGAACCCTCCTCCACTTTCCAGCCTCTAAAAGTGAGATATCCAAAGGTTTCTGGGATCCAAAGGATTCTGGGATCTCTGTGGAATCCATGGGATCGGGGCCACCCTCATTAATGTGCTCAGGTGAGGCTGCTGCACAACACAACTCCTCAACCCTTGAGCTGGCAGCTGGGAAAATCAGAGATCTACAGGAAATAAACTGGGTCATAACTCAGAAAACAAAAACGTGAGAAATCAGCAGTGCAGCAAGCACAAAACCCATTACAGTCAGTGCAGAAATTGCCATCAGTGTCACCGAGCCAGGCTCTGCCATCATTTTCCTGGTACGTATGTGCTGACTGCAACCTCATCCAGGAATGGGAGCTGATATAAATATAAAAACAACAGATCAAACTGGTTCTCCTGTCTTCAAACAGTTTCTACTGGTTTTCCAATTTATTTATTTGTGATAAAAAGCCTCCAAGTTTGCAGTCCCTGCAGGAAAAGGCCTAATAGAAATCTCAGCACATCTGTGGTCACTTTAAGCACACATTTGAGTGTACTTCATTAGGATTTAACTCTGGGCTATTTTCAGAACCATAACAATTTTCCCTGAAAACAGCTAATTTACTGTTACTAACTATATTATTAAATTTCCCTAGGAATGATATATCAAGAAATAAATCTGTAGCAATATCACCTAGCAGTCACATATTTTTATCATTAATTATAAGGTCTGGCAAGCCCTGGCTTGAAATTCAGCTGAATACTCATTGTAATGTAGTTTGTGCTCTCAGTAATTATAGGCAGGTATTGCCTCTCCAGGAGTGTGATGGCACATAAATTGTAGGTGTCCAAATAACCAGTGGTGTTTACTGGGAGCTTAAAAATCACACACACAAAAATGTGAATGGCCTTAGTGGCATAAAAAAAATCTATTTAAACACCATCCAAGCCATCCTCAAAAGGCTCTTTAATTATTCATAGACAGATTAAATGAGTACAAAAAACACAAACTGTTTCCATGTTTTCTTCAGTTTTGGTGGATTTACGTCTATCTCAGATAGAAAAGATTCTTAAACGGGGCTTGGCATAACTTTTCACTGTAATTTCTGTGTTTATGTAATTTCTGAGCAATAGAAGCAAGAATGCAGCTTTAAGACAGAAACACACTGAGTTAAAAAAAAGAAAAGAAAGTTTGGAGTTTTAGAGTTTAAAAATATAAAAAAAAAATAAAGTAGTTACAAAGGTAAACCAGAAGTTTAAAATTCAGAACTGTAAGTTTGTGTATCACAACAAAATTAACTAAGAAAGTTTACACCATAACATGAGTCCATAAAATGAAATATTTAAGGATTGGATCAAAAATATAAATATCCTTATTAACAGAATTTTATTAATCAATAAATCCTTAAAAGGTCTTATAACTAAGGGTCTTGTGATCTTCTGAACCATGCTGTAAAGATGTGACTGAAGTCACCCTGCCTACCTATATAGAAGAAAAATAAACTACATCATCTAAAATCTCAAAGATCCCATCTTTAACTCATTCAAAATTCCTTCAAAATCCCCATCCAAATCCTTCCTTTTGCAGCTTCAGCCATGAAATACAGCACAATTGCAATGCAAAGGGAAAGACTCAGGAATTCCACTTGCCAGCACATCAGGATTCCTCTCAAGCTGTGCAGTGCAACCTTTGATTTGGAACAGCACAACAGCTGGGGGGGCCCTTCCAGCCCAGAATATTCTCTGATAACCTCTGCGATAAAATACCAGAGCCTGATGAATAATTTGAAGATTTGTGCCAGAAGTTGGGAAGAACTATGGAAAACAAGGCCAGGGAATGGAGGCTGAGCAGGTGCCATCTGCACAGAGAGCTGTGCCTGATTCCAGCCCACCCTGATTCCACAGGTTCCATTGCACACAAAATAATTCTGCAAGCATGGGTGCTCGTGACACCAGGCAAATGAGGTTATGAAGTTTAATGTGATGAATACCTGGAGGGTAAGGGAGGGAAGGTAAGGGAGGGAAAGTTGAGAAAAATTATTCAAACTTTGGCCAACAGGAAAGACAATCAAAATGCTAAATGATACCGGAGTCAGTACCAAGCGGCAATAGGAGAAAATGGATGAAACTATTACAGAAGAACTCACTGGAAGGTGGGCTGAGAAACCTCTCCACTGAATCAGAAGTGTAAACTTCAATACAGGGAGTGGGAAGGAAAGGAAAACAAGGAGAGTTTATGGATAATAAAAATAGAGAATTGCCAGTTAAAAAATGTACTAGAGACGTACAAAAGAAAAGAGTGTTCTGCTGGCAGCTGTATTCTCAAATATGAAACATTTCTTGTTTGGCTGAAAAGATCATCAATATCTTCATTACATGCTTGTCACAAGTGAGGTAAATAAACATTTACCTCAACAATTTAATCTGTTGAAGGAGCAGCTTGTACTGCATTTCATACCCACATGTTTTTAGATACAAAGAACTCTATGTGAAAATGCAAAATTCACCAGAAAGCTCACATAATATAAGGGAAGAGTTTAACTTGGATGGTTATACCCACATTAAAACTTGGAATAGTATCTTACTCTTGTAGAATTTCCTCGTCAGACAAAATCAACAGGAAATTTAATCAGAACATTTTCCTTACTAACTTTAATTATCAGTGTGTTTTTGTTTTGTTGCAACGGTTGTATCTGCATTTACATCTGTTTATCAGCATTGTTCAATATTTCAATCTCCCTTACAACATTAGTCTATTCATAATATGCTTCCCATTTATTTGTGTTATTTACCAGACTCATGCTAGATAAACAAATAAAAACAACCCTTTCAGTAACTAAACTTACAGGAAAAAAAAAAGTGAAATTCCCACTCTGCACGGAAATTGCTCATGGTATTTGGTTTGAATCTTAATCATATCCTAGGGGTTGTCTTCATTGATTCCAGAGATGAAGAAAAAACATGAACCTAAATCAAAGCTCCTATTTCCAACTAATTTCTGGGTATTTTCCTTTTCCTTAGTGCAGAGACTTGTTTTTCAAAAATCATTACCTGTTGTCCTTAAGTTGTGCTGCTCCTTCTTCTTTTCACAGAGGAAGAATCCAGTGAGCCATCAAATCAGCAAGAAAACTTGTACAGAGTGGCAATAATGCATTTATCAACAGAGGATTTGTTCAGGCTCTGTCATATTCACATTCTCTGGAAAAATCCCTTTGCCCAGGATTTTTCTCCTGGGAAGCTGAGAAGCCTCAGAGGAAAAGAAAGCAATTCTTATCTCATTTGCTTCTCCTGTGTTGTGCTCACATGTGGAATGTGTTTGGAGATTGTTTACCCACAGGTGATTGTTCCATTGGGTTCTGCTGTGAGTTGTTTTGACTCTTTGGCCAATCAGGGCCAAGCTGTGACTCTGAAAAGAGTCACGACTTTTCATTATTACCTTTTTAGCATTGTGTAAGTATCCTTTCTGTCTTCTTTAATATAGTATAGTATAGTAATTTTTAATAGAATATAATACTATAAAATAATAAATTAGCCTTCTGCAAACATGGAGTCAGGTTGATCACTCCTCCCTGCAACCACAATGATTTCCTGAGCTGTGGGTGGCTGGCACTCACCTGTGGCAGATCCCTCCATGACGTGCCCAACGTAGGGGCCCTCCTTGAACATGGGCCTGTTGTCGTTCTGGTCGATGACCGAGACGTCCAAGCGCACCGGCCCGTCCAAGGTCTTCCCGTTCATATCCACCACCTCCACCTCCAGCTGTGGGAGCACAAAAGGGAATCAAGCCATGAGGTCACTGTCACAGGGAGAGGAGATAGGAAAAAAAGAGTTCTGATGAGTGTTGGTGTGGCCAGACCCTGCCACTTGCAGCCCTTTCTTTTGGACCAGGCTCAGAGCAGATTTCTCCTCAAAGCAAAAGAAGGGACAGAGGTACATTCAAACTGAGATACCCCCTGGCAGCTTGAAGATGCCATATTGCCCAAAGAATTAAAAAGCTTTAAAAAACCCCAAAAAACAGGACTCCTTGCAAATTTGATCCTACTCATGTGAAGATTTGCTTAGAATTTGTTTCTTTGCTTTTATCAAGCACACTCCAGTGGACACACATAGAATTATCATGGTAGAATTGATATTAATGCTCACCCAAAAGCCTTATAGAAAACAACCAGAAAATAAAACCATGAAAACCAACCAAACAAACAAAAAAGCAGGAATGCTGTAGACATTCAGACATTTTTTCAGTGGTGATGGCATGAAGTGTTTGTCAGGCCATTTTCAGATTTCTCTGGGTCTTCTAATCAAGTGTGGAAGAATCAAAGAACATCTTCAATCAGATGGGTGCATTCACAAGCTGAAGATTTGTTTGGACTTTCTTTACTTCCAAAAACTGGAGAGAAAGATCCTATTGTACATCAAATCCCCAAACCATCTACAGTGCAAGGCCCCAGTGAGTCACCAGGGCAAACTACGCCAAAACTTCTTAAACAACAGAGAAATCAATTTAGATTGCAACTGTGTGCTATACCTGCAGTTCTCTCCCCTCACAAGAAATCAATAAAATACAGCAATAAACATGTCTGAGACACCACTATCATTCTCACCTGCCCTCCCATCCCCAGACTCTAATGGAGTTAAGCCAGCCAGAAAATGAACCTGAGCTCAGATGTTAATATCACTCTCTCCCAGTCTTTCCCCGAGAAAATGGAGCCAGCAGGGGCTGGAAGTCTCTGAACATTTTGTTTATACTGTTAATTTATTCTTCATTGCCCTGTCTTATACCTTTAAGTTATTTATAACTTAGTGATAAATCCTGCTGGGAAAGAAATAGGTCAGAATCCTAATTCCTTATTAAAATGGATGGCTTATTATCACCTTTCTCTGTTTTCTGTTATGCTTATAAATACCTTCCACTTTTTTAATTCAATGTATTGGGTGTGAGTGGGAGTATTTGTTATGAGTGAGACACCTACTCACAGGCACTGTTTGTAAATAGTGTCACAGTCCATTTTAACATCTACTCACTGCTTAGCCTCACTTGTCTGGGAATCGTTCTTGCAAACCTTTCCCAAGCCTTATTTTTTATTATGTGGATTAACAGCCTAAAGGCAGACAAATATTCTGGTTGGAATGATTCCAGCAGCTTTGGCACAGCTGAGGATTTCTGGGAGCAGCTCCCCTTCAGCTTTTGGGTTTGTTCAGCTCTGAGCTCCAAAGCCAATGCAGGAATCTTTGCCATGGGATGGGATGGGAAAGGAAAAGAGATTCCATTCCTGAACTACATTAAAGTCAGATACAGTTTTAGCTACAGCTGGAAACTGCTGAGAAAAAGAATCATAAAATAATTTAGCTTGGAAAGGACCTTTAAAGTTCATCTATTTCCAGCCCCTTTCACTGGAGCAGGTTGCTCCAAGTCCCACCCAACCTGGCCTTGAGGGTTTTCCAGGGACGAAACATCCACCTCATCTCTGAGCAACCCATGTCAGTATTTTACCATCCTTACTGTAATGTCCCTCTCCCTGTATCTAGTTCAAATCTCTTCTCTTTTCGTTCAAAACCATTTCTCTTTTTCCAATGAAACAAGCTCTTCTAAATGTTTATCCCCAACCCTTCTGTAATGCCCTTAAAGGGGCTCTAAGGTCTTCCTGGGGCCTTTTCTTGTCTTTGCATGCAAACCACAAAGGATAATCAATGCTTTAGGTGAAATTTTACACCTCACAGCACAGAACTCCATGATCAGGTTTGGGGCTGGGCACCCCAACTCCCTGAGCTTGTCCTTACAGGAGAAGTGTTCCTCTGCTCTTTTTTGTGGCCTCCTCTGGACCCACATCTCCACATCATCCCTGTGCTGAAGACTCCAGAGCTGGACACTTTATCACAGTAAAACTGACTCATCAAAACCATGTTAATTGCTTTGGGAAGTGAAAGAATAGCAATATTTCCCTGTGAAATTCCAGGAAATTAATTTTCAAATTCAAGATAATTTGCTCCTAATCTATCTCTCAGTATCAAGTGACTGTGCTGTTCATTGGAAAGAACAAAGGCTTTGCTAAATTTAAAAAACTGCTTCAGCTGCTTTATCAGAATTGTAAGTCATTTAAAACAAAGCCTGATCTACACTAGTTTTTGGGGTTTTTTCTCAGACTTGCACAGATTAAAGAAAAGAATAGGAGATTCTTATTAATGACTGAAATAGATTTACTTTATCTTTGCTAAGTCCACTGCATCTGAGAGCAACTGTCCAAAAAATTTGGCATGACAGGTCTGTAGGAACAGTTACATGATATCTTCTTCATTTTATTAAGATTGCTGAGGACTTTATTTTATTAATCTTTGTACAATAATTTTCAAGCCTGTCCTAATCATTGAGTTAACTCACCAGCTCCTTTTAAACCCATTCTACAATTTTTTCAAAATAAAAACCTGCAGCACTGAAGTAATGGTCATCATTCTTTATATGACCAGCTTGTGAAAGAAGCTGTCTGATATTTTATGTAGCTTCCCCATGAAAAAAACTAACAAAAACACCCCAAATTAAAACAAAACCAAAAAATCCATAAAATCTGCTCACAAAATAACAGCAGAAGTACATTGTTATTTCCAAAAACCCAACACATGCAAGTGAGAAAAGCATTCAAGTAAAAGACAATACTGGCACCTTGAACAGGCTGTAAATAAAACCAGGTGGGAAATGAGATTGTCCCAACTAACAGAATTGTGAGACTTCAGCCTTTCAATGCAGAAGGCAAGAAAGCCTCTCTGATTTTAATGTAAAACTTGACTGATGTAGGAAAAATACTGAATTAATTCTTTTGATAACAAGAAATTGGAATGGCACATTCAGAAAGGGTTTAAGTTCCTCCCTGACTATAACAATGCAGCTCCAAGGACATGTGCTAAGCATAAAGACAGATTTGAACAAATTGAAAGAAAAAACCCCAACCTTCAGAGTTCTACAGCTGTTTATTTTGTGAAAAACCGATGCTTTCCCACTTAAAAGTTATGGAATTATCTTCATGGGGGTAGAAATGAGATGGTCCTTTCCAACCCAAACCATGAATCAATGATGATGATGAAGTCATGCTCGTCGTCATCCAACCTGTGATTTTCAGCAGCTCTTGAGGCTAAATCCCAATTTCATTTTTGACACAAGTGTACATGCAAACCGCAAAGGATAATTGAGGCTTTGGGAGAGACTTTGCACCTCACAGCACAAAACTCCACGGTCAGATGCAAAGCAGACTTTGGCTGGTGCCCCAACAGGGCTCAGAAACCCTGATCATTTGGTCACTGATCAAATCAGGCACAGGAATGGAACAGGGAAAAGCATAAACCCCCAAACTGCAGGCAGGATAAAATCTACTCCTATCTGGCAAACTCCCACTGAACACTCTCCCTTCTGAAAATGGATTATTTCAAGGCTTCCCATCCAATTTCCCTCAGCATATGCAAAGCAAGGATCTTTCATCACCCCAAATATAATGATCTCATCAGAAGTTGAGCTTATTCAAAGTTGCTCATTTTAAGCTTTCTGCTTTATTTTAAACAGTCTTGAATCCTTTCCACTCTGCAGTCAGCAATAACATTTACATGAAAAGATAACCAGTCTCGTTCTTACCATTACTTCAAGTAATTTCAAAGGTTTCTCTTCACAGAAGGGTTGTTTTCATTCATTTATTGCTTTTGGTGAAATGATTCTGGAGAGCCACCTTCCTTCTCTGCATATAAATGTCTATTTTCACTTTGCAGCCAGCCAGCCAATGGCCCACATAAAATTATATCATAAATTTGGAGATTTTTATAAGTAAATCTGGAATATCTTTTAGTGCTTAATTATCTTTAAAGCCTAAGACAGGTTATTTAGTCATTACCTGCCATCTAATTTTAATTTCCAATTTGTTGCCCACAGGAATGTTTCTCGTGGAAGTTTTCCATTTGTTTCAACAGATGGTTTTTCTACTCGTTCCTCATTTCCAGCTTCACAGGAGCACTGCACCATCCAAAATACTGCAGCACCACCACCTGCCCCACCTCAGTGGTTCTAATCACTGCTGATTTATTTATTGATCAGATTAATTATTGAAAATACTTGTTAGGTTTATTTATTATCAATTTTTTAAGTGTGGATTGACACTAAGGACTTATGGATCTTTCATTCAGGCAATTTCCTGGTAAGAAAAGAAAATTTGGCCACATCTAGGTCATAAAATGTAGTACAGAAATTCTCTTTATAGTGCAAGGTTGTAGTAAAAACTTTATGTAATTACCTAACAAACACAACTCAGAGAAGACAATAATTCAGACAAAGAGAAACTAATTACAAGTAAATTTTCCTGATTTAAGAGTATGAATAAAACATGAGCTAACTGTTATATTGCTCCATAAGAGATGGAGGGAGGGGATGCCAAACAAAAATAAACAGTTTTTCAGAGTTGAACAGAATTCTGTCGAACACCAGAGTAGAACTGTACAGATGATGGCAAACCCAGCACCGTTACCTGCAATTAGAGAATTTCACCTGCACTCAGAGCCAGAGCCAAGGTGGAAAGGGATTAATTAGCCATGTAAATGCTCCAGGAAAATCTTCCACAGGCTTTATTGCTACTGCATCCATCTCAAAATTTAATTATTACACAGCTCCTATTTTCTTAGCACAATATCTCTTAACTCTGTGCATTAATAAAATAAAATTTTTTAAAAGTCCAAGACTTCTATCTCTCCAAAGTGACAAGGAGTGAATTCTTCAGCAAGAGTCACTTCAT